CTCAAACTCACAGAGATCTTCCTGCCTCTGCCACTCCCTCCAGAACTGGAATTAAAGGTGTGTGCCACCCACCTAGTTAGGAACATCCTTTTAAACTCTTTATGATTCATTTGTGTGTGTGTGTGTGTGTGTGTGTGTGTGTGTGTGTGTGTGTGTGTGTGTTCATGGACATATTGTGGTACACATGTGGGATTCGAGAACTACTTTTGGGAGTCTGTTATCTCCTTCCAATATGGGAGGGCGTGGTTCCTAGCAACCACTTCTATACACTGAGCCACCTTGCCGGCCCTTGAAGAGTCAGCCTCGTCAAGTCCTTTCAGCCTCTACCTCCCCCACAAGCTTCAGACACACATTTCCAGCTCTTATGAGGATCAAACCCTCTCCCCACACAGACACTGGCAGTCATTTTCTCCTTACATATATTTGTATCAGCTCCAGTGGCTCACTTCTGTAGTCCTAGCTCTTGGGTGGCAGAGTCAGGAACATCAAGGCCAGTCTGGGCTATCTATTTAGACTCTGTCTCAGAAAACAAAATGTAAAACAAAAATGCACCCCACTTATTTTCAAGTCCCTACCATGTCAGTTTTCCCCTCGATAAATATTTGAGACACTCTCTACTCTCTGTTTCCCTGGTCACTCCAGATGTGGCAATGGACAAGACAAAGTGTCTGCCCACAGTTTGGGAGACAGTGAACAAATCCTGCTTAAATTAATTTTATTAAATTAAATTTATTAGGCCAGCATGGTGTAGCTACCACAGTCACATCCCATCATAATCACCTCTCCTTTGACCTAACTAATCAATGTTTCCATTTTTAGCTGAATTCAGTGTCCCCCCACCCCACCCTAAGGATCACATTTCCAGCCTCCTTTGCAGCTATGTGTGGCCATGTGACCAATCTCCAGCTAAGGAGATAGAGATGAAAGTGGGAGAGACTTCTGGTAACGTTTGGAAGCCTGCCCGAGCATACAGCTATTTGAGCCGCTTTCCCTAGGACATTCTTCCTGCCAGCTCCTTGGATTATGAATCACCTTGGGAAAGACAGCCATACCAGATAAAGCACCAAAATAAAATAGGTGCCTGTGTCCCAGTCAGCAAGGCAGCCTGCACCAGCCCCATACCTTCTATCTCCAGATTTCCAAAATGAAGAGAAAAATACAGTTGCATCGTGTTTGTGGCTATTTAGGGGTTTTCTGTTACAATTCAACCAAATCAGAGGCTAAATAACTAAGGGGTCAGGGCATTGTCCTAAGCAGGGTATACAGGAAAGCCTCCCTGAGGATGTGACATTTGAGCAGAACAAAATGAGGGAAAAGCCATGCCAGAGTCTGGGAAAGAGTGCCCCTATCACCCAAACTGGAAACCCAAGCAATGTCCCTAGGCACCTTCTGTTCCATAGGCCATCTGTCACCAAATCCATTCAGAACAAAGGAAATCAAACCAATCAGACCACACATGCCCCCGAATCCCACCTCTCTGGATGTCTTCTGCAGATGGGCTTAAACTACACCCTCAGTAGAACATGTGTGAACAAACTCCCAGATCCTGCAACTGTGACCTTCTTGGAAAAAAAAAAAACGATCTTTTGTGGTCCCTTTTAGTCCTGTAGCCTTGTGGTAATTTGCTAGGGAACCCTAGAGAAAGAGGCCTCCTTTTTGTAATATGATCAAGTTGGGCTTGAACTCACAATCTTCTTATCTCCACTTCCCAAGGGCTAGGGCTACCAACATGCACTTCCATGCCCAGCCCTGGAAGTCAACAGAACTCTTATAGACAACAACTCTTTCCTAGCCCCAACTAGAATTCAGGATTCCCTGTCAGGAAATGTTTCTGGTCATATCTCAAATATCTTAATCAGGCAACGGAGTAATTACATATGTATTTCTAACTGCCAATGCATACTACTGCATTAATATGTATAAATCACAAACATGAAATGGTCTTGAGACTAGCTGCTTCTCTTCAGGCTAAATATCTCCCAGCAATTCCACTGCAGAGAGGAAATTATGTTTTTAAGGCTTATTCATTTTGAAAGTATTTGAATGTCACTTTCTTTTGTCAGGATTACATCAACTAAGTACAGTACTGCTTTACACATACATGTACACATATAATATTTATTTTTAATTTTATATGCATTGGTGTTTTGCCTGAATGTATTTCTGTGTAAGGCTGTTGGATCCCCTGGAACTGGAGTTACAGATAGCTGTGAGCTGCCATGTGGGTGGTAGGAATTGAACCCGGATCTCTGGAAGAGCAGCCAGCACTGTCAACTGCTGAGCCATCTCTCCAGCCCTAGTACTGCTTCTTTATACATGCAAAGACGTGTGCTCATGTTCCTTCTGCAGCATGCAACTCTGCTAAGGAACAGTCACAAACGGGGAACGATCTGGAAGTGAGAAAGACGGGAGCAGGCCATGGGTCCCACAGTGAACCGTGTCTCTGCTGCACAAAAGAATGAATGCGGTGTGGAACACAAGTTTTGCTGAGATGTAAACCCACATATTACATAATTTCACCATCTGATTTTGTCATTGCTTGAGGATTTATTTGTATTTTATGATGCCTGCATGTACATATGTGCACTGTGTGTATACAGGCCTTGGAGAAGCCAGAAAAGGGCTTCAGATCCCCTAGGCCTGGAGTAACAGACCTTTTTTGAGCCACCATGTGATGCTCTGTAAAAACAAGTACTCTTAACTGCCAATGAGTCATCTCTCTAGCCCCTTATTTAGTTGTTGTTTTTAAGATTTATTTATTTTTGTGGGGTTTTTTTTGGTTTTGTTTTTTTTAGGGACTCACCAGGTTGACCAGGCTAGCCTCAAACTCCTGGTCTCAAGGGATCCCCATACTCTAGCCTCCAAAGAGCTGAGACTACAGGCAGGCAGCTTAAGAGGGTTAATTTACCTGCTACACAGGTAGAGTTCAGTCATTTTGATACAATCTCCAAGCGAGGAGATCCTCACCACAGTCAACCTTAGAATATATTTCCTCTCCCTCTTTCTGGTAACTACAAGCTTGCAAATTTCTGTATGTGCAGCTCATTGGCAAACATTTGACTGTGTCCATATCTTTGCCTACTTTCAGTATTTTATATAAATGAAACAACACAATATGCTTCATGACTGGCTTCTCTTATTTGGAATAATTTTAAGGTTTGTCCATGTCATATGTATCTGAGTTTTATTGTTTTGTTGCCAAGTAATATTCCACTGTGTGGACATACCACGATTCCTTTCTCCTTTCATAACAGACGAATATTTGTTTTTTTTTTCCACCTTGAAGAACTAAGTCCCTTATTGGTATGGCTGCCATAATGAAATGCCACGGGTTGCATGGCTTAACAACATAACTGTATTGTCTTCTGGTTTGGGAGGTAAGAAATCCATGATTAAGGGCAGGCAGATTTGGTGCTCTGGAGGGGAATGGCCCCATAGGCTCCTATGTCGGGGTGCTTGGTCCCCAGTTGGTGGAATTGTTTGGGAAGGACTAGGAGGCGTGGCCTTGTTAGAAGAGATATGTCACTAGGGGAGGACTTTGAGGGTTCAAAAACCCATTACCATTTTTTTTTTCCTTCCTTCCCCTCCCTTTTCTCTCCCCAGTACTTAGGAGATAGAGGCAGTAAGATGTTTGTGAGTTCAAGACCAGCCCGGTCTACATAGTTTCAGGGTAGCCAGCCAGGGCTAAACAGTGAGACCCTGTGGAAAAAAATCCCACAGCAACAAGAATTTATTATGCAGCCATGTCAGTACCAGCCGGGGACGCCAGCACACAGAAGGCTGAGGAGGGTCATGAATGCCATGCCATGTCACATTAGGTTACATAGTATGGTCTCAAGAAAAATAATTTTAAAAACAGACTTAGTAACCTGATAAATTGGAATATTATTATATTTTGATACAAGGTCTTGCTATAGACCCCAGGCAGGCCCGACCCTCACTAGTATCCCAGTGTGGCCCCAAACCTGCGCTACTCCTCTTGCCTTAGCTGAGTGCTATGCTGGCAGGCTCACACCACCACACCCTGGCAGCAGTTTGGTTACTAAAGTCCTTACCTTACCACCTTCTCACGGAGCAAACCATGTTGGAGTCTATCTGTCACACTTTGTTCTAGTTTTGTTTAGGGGCGGGGAGAACAACGAAGTCTTACTTTGTAGCCCTGGCTGTCCCAACATTTGTAGCTGCCCTCCTGCTTCTGCTTCCCAAATCCTAAGATTACTGACCAGCTAGCTGCCCCATGTTCAGCCTTAAAATGCCATTAGGTGCCTGCTTGGGGAGTAGGGGGAGGCACAGCAAACTCTAGATTTGGGATCATGTGACTCATATCAGCCGATGTGGGTAAGAAAGGCCTGACACTCGTCCATGTTGAAGTACAGAGGAGACAGACTCCAAGGTCCTGGTCTGCATAACGGGAAACATGGAGGGGAGAGACCCTGTCCTATCTCCTACAGTCTCCCCCACAGTCGTCATGCCATGCCAATGTAGGAGGGTCCTGTGTTTAGCTCAGACACTTAACATTTTACTTCCCAAAAAGGGCTGAGAAGGGACCCTCGTCACAAAGGCTCTCCCACTGCACCCTGCCATGTAGAAATCTAGGCCCAGAGAGGAACAGCCTGGAAGTAAACATGGCTCCCCACCCAGGGAACTCTATTCTACTACAGGGCTGCCCAGTTATTTAAAATCATTATCAGCTGGGCGTTGGTGGCATATGCCTTTAATCCCAGCACTCAGGAGAGGCAGAGGCAAGCGGATCTCTGTGAGTTCAAGGCCAGCCTGGTCTACAGAGCGAGTTCCAGGACAGGACAGCCTCCAAAACAGATAAATCCTGTCTTGAAAAACAAAAAACAAACAAAAAAAACAAATAAAATCATCATCAGACTCCCCAGTGTGAAAGAACAGCCACACGAGATCTCTTACACACACACACACACACACACACACACACACACACACACACACACTCTTCAGAAGGAAGCAACAAAAACATTTAGGCATCTTACCTTACTTTCTGTGAGCGGGGGTCGTATTCGTGGCTCAACATCTACAGCCTTAAAGACAAGACAAGACAAGACAGTGTTACAAAGGCAGCGTGGCAACCTGCATTCACACATACCGGTGCATGCGTGCAGAGAACAAGTACAATTACCAGGAGCTGGTGCAGATGGGTCTAATGGCTCTGCAGGCGAAAGGCAATGGCCTCAGACATTTCCCATTCATGAATTTATTCACATGAATGCTTATCAGGTCCTCACAGAGGCGCCAGGCATTGCAGAAGGCACCAGTAATTCAAAGATGGAGAACAGGGGCTGGAGAGATGGCTCAGCAGTCCAGAGCACTTGTTGTTCTAGCAGAGGACCGACAGAGGTTCAGTTCCCAGCACCCACATGGTGACTCACCACCACCCCTAATTTCAGTTCCAGGGGATCAGACACCCACTTCTGAACTCTTGGAGCACTGGACATTGAGTATGGTGCTTAAACATAAATATAAGCAAAACGTAAATAAATCTTTAAACAACAACAACAAGTGGAGAACAACAGAGGCTCAGCCCCGCAGGGAGCCAATAGTCCCCTAGGGACTGGCCACTAAGGCAAGGGTGCTGCTGGAAATGAAAACACAGCTACAAGAGGTTGGAGACATAGCTCACTGCGGAGACAGCTGGCCTGGAACGCACAAAGCCCCCGACTCGATTTCCCGGCATCACATAAACTATGTGTGGTGGCACATGTCTGTAACTGTAGCACTTTAGAGATGGGGGCAGGGGGATGGAAAGTTCATCGTCATCTTCTGCTACACAATGAGTTCCAGGCCAGCCTGGGCTACATGGGACCCTATCCCAAAAGGGGGAATGGGACATAGAGATGGGAACACGGGGGTCTGGTCTCTGTCCAACCATTGGCTGGCTCCACTGTGTCCTCAACACTACAGGATACAGTGCCTCCCAGACGAGCATGGGAAGAAAGTCACTTTCAAATAGAGACAGCTTATGGTAAGACTGGGAGAGGTGACTTTAGTATCTTGCCCTTCCCTAACTCCCCTTACCCCACAAGGTATAGACACTTCCAGTTCCAACCGGAAAAGGCCTGATACGATTTTCATGGTGGTCCCTGAAGGCATAGGGTAGGTACAGTAAATTGTTGGTTGAAGAGTAGCTGGGGAGAATGGATTTCCACATGTACAGGTATGGAACCAGACCCATGCTGCTCATCTTGCACAGAGATCAATTCAAACTGGAACGCATGTCTTACGGTGAGACCTGTAACTTTGAAACTGCCAGAGGAAAACACAGCAAGGCATGGGCGTAGGCAATGATTTTCTGAAAAGGACTCCAATGGTTCAGGGAATAATCCCAGGAGCTGACAATGGGATTGCATGAAGACTCAAAGCTTCTGCACGGCCAAGGACATGGCTGGGTAAAGACAGCGCCTACAGAATGGGAGAAAACCTCTGCAAACTATACATCATGATAGCCATGCCAACTGTACCTCAATGCAGGCAAAGGCTCTTGTCCAGGGCATCTACTTCTGTGTTCACTTCTCTCTGGTTTGGGGTCCTTGCAATCATTCCCACATGGATGAGCGCCCTCCCCACCCCCACCCCCGTTGTGCCCCAGCAGGTCTCCTGGAGGCTGGGGGACCCATGGCCCACACCTCTTGGCCACCTCTGCCTGTTGTCAATCACCTACCAGGCAAGGATAAGAGCCTCAGTAAAGAGCCCCAGCTGAGCTCAGGCCAAATTGCCAGTTCATGGGTCAGTGAAGGGGGGCTAGGGACACGGTGAACTGAGGCAGAGGAAGGTGTGGAAGGCAGAAATGACACGGGCATCCGTGTCTGAGACACCTTCCTTCCTCCTGTAACAGCCCCCAGGGCAAGTACAACGTGGAGGCCAGCTCAGAGGCGTGGCTCTCTCATCCCTGGATTATGTTGTGGAAAAGGAAGCCTCGGGTCCCTAGGAGGTAAACTGAGGCTGGAGCCTCAGGGATGGGCAAGGGCCAGCCTTTCTGCTGGGGCTGAGACAGAACCATGGTTTTAACAAAAGGTGGGGGGACACACTACAGACCAAAGACAAACGGAACCATCTGCACAAGCTCCGTACACGCCCAAGGCCCAGGCTGGTCTCACACTGAAGGGGCTCTAAGGAAGACCCACAGATACTTAAGAGGCCTCATGAGAATCAAGACTAAGACAGCAACGAAAGATACTGCCTGGGCAGCAGCCCTGGAGAGAGCTACTGAGGAACTTTCCTTAGATCACAAGTGGAAACTTACTAACCAGTGTGCAGTGTGTCTAAGCTTAGGACAGCCCACGGCATGCGTGGCATGAGGAAGACAGGAGTAGAGCCAATAGGTTACTCCTGCAGCCTTGGGTTTGATGTGGATGAAGGATGACCAGAGTTCAGGAGTGACAGAGACCCCAGTGGACCACCTAGATTCTGCAACTGGCTAGCTATTAGAGCTTGGACAAGTGGCTGAACTTCTTCAAGCCTCAGTTCACCCATCAGTAAAATGGGCGTATTAATACTTCATTAGGACTTTTGAGACATGTAAGAAGGCCAGCACAGGGCATATAGTTTTTCCTTGCTATGCCTGTGTAGAGGGGTTGGCATCACCTCAGTGACCAAAGCCAATAGGCGTTCAAGTCCCCTTTGCAAAATGGTATACTGTCTGCAGTCTCCAGTGCCCATCCTCCCATAGAATGTCCATGTGCTTATGTGGTTGTGTGTGTGTGTGTGTGTGTGTGTGTGTGTGTGTGTGTGTGTGTGTGTGTGTACACGCGCGCGCGCATCCACGAATACATGAATGGAGGCCAGAGGTTGACATTGGGTATCTTTCTCAATCACTCTTTACTTCATTTGTTTTGATTATTGAGGGGGTGGCCACAGAGGATAACTGCATGGAGTCAGTCGCCCCTTCCGTCATTATATGGGTCCTGGAGATTAAACCCCAGTTACACAGTCAAGCACCTTTAGTCTCTGCCTTTTCAGTCCCGCAGACTCATTTTTTGAGTCAGGGTCCCTCAGTGAGCCTGGCACTGGTGGCTTCAGCTAGGCTTTCAGGCTATTGAGCCTTTGGGATCTGTCTGTCTGCACCAAACCCATTCCCCACTCCCCACCTTTACCTCAGTACTGGGGTTTCAGATGCCCAGCTTTTATGTGGGTATTGGGGACCAGAACTCGGGTCCTTATGCTATTGCAGCAAACATTTTAGCTACTCTCCCATAGACTTCCAGTCACCTCTGGTTGCTTAGGATACATGCCACATAGCTGTTCTAATGTGTCATTTGGCGATTGACAAGAGAAGAAGTCTATCTGTCCAGGACAGATGTAACCTTTCCCCCTGACTATTTCAACCCACTATTGAATGAGTCCACAGATACAGGAACCACAAATGCAGAGACCCGTTGGGATTGCTTGTGTAACGGGAACAGCCTTCGCATACCTCATCAACTAACAGAGACTCAGGACAGTCAAGACTGAAGACTCCCTGGGGCTGCTTGAGGGAAATATACCAATTTCTAATGCTCGGCCATTAACCCTGAATCTGAGACCCCAAAGCTCATGTGTCTGTCTCTGAACTCCCAAGTACCACACAGACCAAGGCTAGACCCATGGACTGGCACTGCATCCCAGACAAGTGTCCAAGCCTCCTGACAGCCACACGGTGCCTGTGACACTAGCTGCTTTGTGCCACCTCACCGAGGCTGGCCTGGACTGCTTTATAAACTCTTGATGGCATTCTGCCTGGGGCTGGCGAAGCCCGACAGGGCACAGGAAGGGGGGAAGGGCGGCGGCAATGGCATCCCAAATAAACCTTGTGGCTCGGAAACACTCTTCCTTTCCCAGAGCAGGGCACACTATTCTCTGCCCTGGCTGAGGAATAAAGGGAAAAATGGGGGTGGGCACTCCAGAGGTCAGGGGTCACAGGGGCTCTTCAGATTGATTTCTTTTATGACTGCCTTGTTCCAACGTAGCCCGCACTGGTGCTTTGGGCTGGGCAAATGAAAACGAGGTGGAGAGCCTCTCTGCTCCAGAGCTGGGCTGTGGCGCCATTGATAAGAGTGCTTGCTCAGGATTCATGAAGCTCTGGGTTCGATCCCCAGCACCCCATAAACTTGGGAGTGGAACTCCAGTGCTCAGAAGGTTCGGGTAGAACACTGAGAGTTCAAGGCCAGCTTAGGCTATGACAGTGAGACCTCGTCTTGAAGAGGGAGGAAGAAGACACAAAGTCAATGTTCTGGAAGCCTCTGAGGGAAGGAAGACACATCTGGGCCAGACTTTGCAAAGGTTTTCTCAGAGGGGACAAAGGATGGCATTTACACCTCTCCAGACTTTGCATGTCTTCAACGCCTAAACCCCTCACCTCCAGTCCAAATAGCACCCTGCTCTTGCTCTCCTCAATTCTTTTATTTATTTATTTATTTATTTATTTATTTATTTATTTATTTATTTATTTAGGTTTTTCTAGACAGAGTTTCTCTGTGGCTTTGGAGGCTGTCCTGGAACTTGTTCTTGTAGACCAGGCTGGTCTCGAACTCACAGAAATTTGCCTGCCTTTGCCTCCTGAGTGCTGGGATTAAAGGCGTGCACCACCACCGCCTGACTCTCCTCAATTCTTAAGACAAGTCACGATAAACATGTCCCCCATGGGCTGACCAGCGTCTTAACTCCCGTAGCTCAGAGGGAGCCCTGAGCCCCCTGAGCCACAGAGCATATAGCAAGTGCCAGCCCTGTATCTGTCCTTGGACTTAGACCTATGAGGGACACAGGTTCCCCTATCCCTTAAAGAAAACAATTGTGGACCACACTCCAGGGGCCATGTGCAGCAAGATGGGTTGCAAGTGAGCCAGCTACTCAAAGGAATACCAGCTGTGCTAGCCACATTTTTTAAAGGTGTGTTCCCATGTCTGGGGGGCACCGTACAGTGTCAGAATGGGCTTCTGGTTTGGGAAGGCATGGGGGGTTCAGCCCAAGGGGCTTCTCTCAAAGCCAGATTCCTGCTGGTAGCCCATGCCCATGACTTTGTAGTATAACTTTCCAGGAAATGACTAGCCATGAGGTTGCAAGACTCCCCTTGGGGAGAGACCAGGGGTCTGGCTGAGAAATGAACCTGTGGTAAAAGCCAGGGCTAGATGGAGGGCTCCTGCCTGCCCTGTGATTTGTGCTTGCTGTGTCCTAGGTCTGAGCTGGACTCCAAGGCGACACCCTGGGAGAGTGGGCTGAGGAAGATATAGGACCCTGTGAGAGGCCAGGGAAACCTGGGTATATGACTCAATTGAGAGAGTGTTTGCTCAGCATGCAAGAGACCCTGGGCTGAACTCCCAGCAGCACGTGCACTGGGTATGGTAGTACACGCCTGTCAAACCAGCACTTGGGAGGTGGACAAAGGAGCGTCAGGAGATCCAGGTCTTTCCTGACTACATGGAGTTCAGTTGAAGCCAACCTGGGATTTGTGAGATCCCGGGGGTGGGGGTGTGGTGGGGGTGGGGTGGGGGAGTTACCTGTCCTCGCTGGCAGCTCTGTCCCATGGTGTAGAGGCGTTGGCTGTACTGTTTTCCCAGGGGTCTTCCAATCTCAGAAACTTGATCTCCTGCTCCTAAAGAAAGGTTAAGTTCAGAAGAGGTCAGTCAGAGTCTCTACAACATCCTTCTGTCTTTAGCAGTTGAGGACAGATATCAAGGACTGACACAGCATAGAAGCCCGTTTCTAGAAGGATCCATGAACCCAGATAAAGCGACATAAAGTTTCCAATGGAGTTTTACTCTGGAAGTACTTCCTGGATGGTTGGCTGGAGGTAGAAGTCCAGGTGTGCTTCAGGGAAGTGATCAGCAGACCTGGGAACCAACTGAGGCATCCTCAAAGTCACTGCTTCAGAAGTATGGCCTTTGTCCTAGTTCCCATTGGTCCTCATCTGTCTAACTTAAAACATGGTATGGAGAATCTCGGAATAAAGCCTAGCTTTCTAACTCTAAAAGCAATGTTGCCAGATGGTAGTGGCGTACACCTTTACTCCCAGCATTGGGGAGGCAGAGGCAAGTGATCTCTGTGTTCAAGGCCAACCTGGTCTACAGAGCCAATTCCAGGACAGCGAAGGCTACACAGAGAAACCCTGTCTCACCCCACCCCCTGCAAAAGAAAAGCAATGCATGGTGTTCATTTAGAAGTCCAAGAACAGAAGTAAGTGACTTAAAAATTGAAATCACACTCCTGCAGAAATAATGTATGTTACTTTAGGTATGTATCCTTCTTTGAATTTCTCTCTAGGTAACTACATATCAACAACACCAAAAGAAAGTCATGCTACACTACTGCTTTACATTGATTATCTTTGTGTGCATATGCTCATTTGCACCACTGTGAGCAAGCGGGGTCAGAGGTCAACTTGCAGGAATGGAGTCTCTAGGGGATTGAGCTCCATTTGTCAGGCTTGGCAGAAAGTGCCATTGCCTGCTAAACTGTCTTACTGGCCCTAAAATATTCTTTTTTAAGACTAGCATTTTTCCCACGAAATACTTTATGGTAAAAATCATTTTGTCTTTTTGTTCTGGTGTTTCTCAAATTGTATAAACTTCCAGTCATTCAGCTCGTGTTGTGGATCTGGTGCACAGCGTGGTGATGGTTAAATATACTAAGTATCAATGCTTGCTAAGATGGTAGATCAAGTACTTACCCAGACAGGAAAAAAAAAAAAGCAGTAAGGAATAAGATAATGGCTGTTAGCTAGCTTAACTGGGGTAATAATTTCACTCTGTGTGTGTGTGTGTGTGTGTGTGTGTGTGTGTGTGTGTGTGTACATATAATACTACAAACACAGAGTTTGTCAATTTGACATCAGTAAAGCTGAGAGGTGATTCCTAGCCAATTAGTCAAGACTGACAGCCCCTTTGCCCAATCTCTAACAGCCTGAACAGCTCAGGCCTGTTCTGTGCTTTGCCTAACAACTGGCATGAAGCATCAGCTACTGCAAGAGTCCCCTCCACTGGAGGCCCTCCCTACTCCAACCAGGGAAGACCAGAGCCTAGGCTTTCAATTATGGGTACAAGGCCAGGCCGCTGGCCGAGTCACAAAGGTTGGCAGTGGAGACTTAGCTGGGGTTTGGCACAAGCAAAACTGGTACACTTTCATTCTTGCTAGTTGCTTACAGCATTCCTTTTTGATTTGATATTGATACTTGTTCCCTCTACTCAAAGGTTTCTGTAAGAAACAAAATGGAATTGGGCATTTGTAGTCTTTAGGTTGCTGGGGAATAGCTGTAACTGGATTGCTTGTGTACTGACTTCCCAGTATGGGGGGGCGTATGAGAAGGCTGTACCCCTCACACAGTAACATGTTGGATGCAGCTTTGGAATGAAGCTTAGATGTGAGGCCAGGATGTTAGTTTGAGACTCTGCTTGGCCTCTTACTAGCTTTGACCTGGGGAGACTTTGTCTTAAGATAGTTTCACGATGTAGCCCTGGCTGCCCTAGAACTGTGTAGACCAGGCTTTCCTAAAACTCACAGAGAGCTGCCTCCCTCTGCCTCCTGAGTGCTGGGATTAAAGGTGTGCACCACACCCTGCCTGGGAAGCTGCAGAAACTGCAGTTCCATTAACTATGAGATGGGCATGATCACGGAGACACACCGGATCGAAGCTTTGTTCATACACAGGAGTCCTGGTGCCTGGCACATATACAGCACATGCTCCCTGCTATTGGGGACAGACTGAAGGGCCGTGAAAAGCTTGAGTGGAGGCATATTGTGCTCAGGTAAGCTCAAGGTAGTGGTTTGTCCAGGAAGACACAATACTCTGGGGGGGGGGCGGCAAAAGGAACTTTTATATATGAGCTTTTATTTATTTATCCTTTTAAATAAAGTTCTGCATTAAAAAAATTGATAAGATAGTGTTTCAAGATGTACAATCACAGATGTACACACACACACACACACACACACACACACAGTTTTCTGGCACCTTTATCCTTCTGTGCCTGGCCTGCTTTGGCATCTTCAGTATCTATAGGGCTGTTCCCATCTTGCCAGTACCCCCTTTCCCTCCTTCCCTCTGGGTACCTTCCCCTTTCCTTGCAGGGATATCTCAGGCTTGATTCTGGCTCAGCAGACAAGCATGCAGCGTTTCTGTAGCAATCCTTGACTTAACCCCTAAGCATCTCCCTTCTGTCTTTCTGGTAGATGCAGTGGAAACTCAAGCATTGACTATGGGGCACCCATGGTGTTGGTCTGTCCGGGCTGGTTCTGTTTCCTTTGCACACTGCTCCTTTGTGTTCTGTTCTGATCTGTATGGGAGTTTCGCCTGCATATATGTCTGTGCACTGTATGTAAGAAGTGTGGAGGAAGGTTAGAAGAGGTCTCTGCAGACTTCTGAGTTTTTACATTTTCCCCTATAAGGCTCAGAGTGTAGCTCCGTGACAGAACTTGCCTAACAGGCACCAAAGGCTGTCTGTTTGATCCCCAACACTGCCAAATGCATAAATAAATCTCACTGTGTGACTCTTGGGGACTGCTCCATATAATGACAATATTTATTTATTTAATTATCAATTTAAAACTTGAAATGTAGCCCCTAAGCCAACCGGCTTATTTCGTGGAGATTTAAAGACTTTGGCTATTTTCAGTGTGTTTCCAGGGTACAGGTGTCTCCACTAGCTAATTCTAGAAAATGCCCGTTATGGAGTTGGGGGGACGGTTCAATGGGTAAGAGCAACTGACCACAAGTACAAGAATGCAATATGGGATCCCAGCATCCACATAAAGAGGCCAGCTGTGGCCACACACCTGTATCCCCGGGTCGATGAGAGATGGCTGGCACTTGCTGGCATAGAACCTCAAAGTAGTTCAAATCCACGAGCTAGGGGTCAAACAGGCAAGGATACTTTACAGATGGGCAAGGTTTCTGTCCGGTCCTCACTCAGCTTCCTGCACAGAGGGCCCTGCTGTGACCCCAGCCTGTGCTGATTAGACCCAGCAGCTGACCCAACCTGGAGCAGAACCTGAGCCAAACACACACAGCACAACAGCCTATGCTGGCCTATGCTGGCCTGTGCTGGCCTATGCTGGCCTATGCTCATGGCGACTCTTATGCTGTAGCCTCCCCAGTGCTGTTTATGGCACCACCACACTGGGCATAATTTATGAGTTTCTGTTGTTTATTGGTTTGTTTTTTGAGGGTTTCACTCTATAATCCAGGCTGGCCTGGAATTTACTGTGTAAACCAAGATAGTGTCAAACTCATGACCATCTTCCTGCCTCAGACTCCCAAGGTCTGGGATTATAGGCGTGAGCCACCATGGATGAGTTAGCTTTGTCATTATGAGAAAACGTCCTGGTGTCTCTGCCAGACAGGCTTACGAAGTCCGCAGATACCCCCACGCACCTGTAGGCCTTTCTGACACAGGGGCAGCTTCCCCAGCTTGTCCTGGGTCTTGAAGCATCTTACAAAAGAGTGCTCCCCATCACATTGGTGCAGGTGACAGAGAGTCTGAATGACAGCATTACACATTATGGTCCTCTTCCTTCCTCTGCTAACCACCAACTGTTGCCCCGGAGACGAGCGGGGGAGGGGAAAGAGCGCTGGGCATCTGTTGGAGGCATGGTGATGGTAGGACTCTGTCAGGACATCGCTTGGTCCAGAGGTTAGGCAGAGATGAGGAATGTTATCTGTGGCCCACTCCACTGGCAACATGCCCTGTGCAGTCCATTCTGTAGGGCATTTCCTGCTGGGGGGTGGGTATTCTCCACCACCCCAAGGGAGCCCAGGGTCCTCTCTGGGGCTGTGAGGGTGTCTAGAACTGTCTTCCTTGCTTCCTTCCTCCCCTCTGACAGAATCAAAAACATCTGTGAGAGTCAGGCATTTGTCTTTCCAAAACCTCTGGTCCAGGCCCCACAGTGAGTTTCAGGTGAGAGGCTTCATGTCTTAGGTCATTTGCCTGGGTTTGAGGCTCCTGGTTTCTCAGCGTGCTAGTAACACCGAAACCGACAGCTCATTCACGGTTTGCTGCTGACTGGACCCCTCATTCCTTGCCAGCTCTGACTTCCCTTGTATTGTTTCAACCTGCTCTCCCCAATTAATTCAGTGGGGTCATTACAAACGGCAGGTGACAGTTCGGTATCAGCAGAGAGAGTAGAAGCATTTGTTCACAATGATCCTTGTGCTGTCACTCTCGTTTATAGACAGAGACACTGCGGCTCGGAAGGTCAGCTATCTTCCTGAGCTCAGACAGACAGTAAGTGACGAAGTTCAGGTTGGAAGCTGGGCCGTCGACCTAGCTTTGGCTTCCCATTCATCTTCTAAACACCCCCCCCCGCGCACTCTCCAACCCTATCACACAGGACCTCACACAGCTACAAAAGTTATCCACAACTGAATCATATCCCCGAGCCCTGACTCGGGGTTTTCATCGCTGTGAAGACGTCGTGACCACAGCAACTCTTTATAAAGAAAAACGTTTTATTGAGGTGGCTCGCTTACAGTTTCCGAGGTTCAGTTCATTGTCATCGTGGTGGGGAGATGGTGGCCCGTAGGCAGACATAGTGTTGGAGAAATAGCTGAAAGTTCTACATCTTGTAGGCAACAAGAAGTTGGCTCAGACACTGGGCGGTATCCCGAGCATAGGAAACCTCAAAGCCCGCCCCCACAGTGACACACTTCCTCTAACAAGGCCACACCTCCTAATAGTGCCACTCCCTATGAGATTATGAGGACCAGTTACATTCAAACTAGCACAATCCCCAAGTTTGATTTTACTTTTAAATCTTTGAGACAGGGTCCCCCAAAATTGGCCTTGAACTTGTTCTGCATCCCAACACAACCCTTGAATCTCCTCAATCTCCTTGCTTTGTGATCATCTGGGGTTATCATTCTTAGTCACTTTGTCCTTTCAGACACCAAATGTTAGTTGTCAGCTTGGGAGGATCCCTCTGAGAGACGGGCTTCTGGGCATGTGTGTGGGGACTGTCATAAATTGATTGACGTGGGAAGACTCATCTGAACTGTAGGCAGGACCTGGCGTGGATCCTGGACTGTCTAAACTGGAGAGAGCAAGCGGGATGGATGCATTTACTGCCTTCTGCTTCCTAACTGTAGATGGGACATGCCTAGCTGATTCAAGCTCCTGCTACTGTGATGCCCTGCCCCTCCCCTGCCATGATGGACAGTCTCCTGAACTGTGAGCCAGAGTGAGCCCTTGGCCTTTTAAGTTGCTTTTGTTGGTGTATTCTATCACAGTAACAGGAGAGACTGAGACACCGAGCTGACAAGGAAGGACAACCAGGCATGGTGCATACCAGCAATCCCAGCATTGGGGAAGCTGAGGCAGGAGGATGGTGGACTTGAGTCTATCTAGTCTAGACTACATAGGGAGATCCTATCCTGCAGACAGCTGGAAGGGCAGCTAGGGAGGTGGTAAAGTGCTTGTCCTGCAAGCAGATAACTTCAGTTTGATCTCCATAAGTCATGGAAAATAGCATAATGTCAGTGTGGGGAGGCAAAAGCAGGCAGATCCTTGGGGTTTCCTAGCCAGCTAGCCTAGCCTAATTGGTGAACCCAGATTCCAGAGAGTCACTGTCTCAAAGCACAGGTGAAGAATGGCTCCTGAGGGATAACACTGGAGCATGTCTTTGGGCACACACACACACACACACACAAGTGCACACATGTGTACCTACACACACAGAAAAACACACATACAAAAAAAATGAGATCAAATGGCTACTGGGGGTTTATTCTCCATCTTGTCCAGTTGTGATCATATAAAGTGTTAATAGCCAGACAGTGGTGGCACATGCTTTTAATGCCAGAGGTAGGCAGATCTCTTGAGTTCGAGGCCAGCCTGGTCTATAAAGTGAGTTCCAGAACAGCCAGGGCTATACAGAGAAACACTGTCTTGAAAAAAACAAAGAGCCAGGTGATGGTGGTGGCAGCGCACACCTTTAATCCCCACTAGTGAGGCAGAAGCAGGAGGATCTCAGTGAATTTGAGGTCAGCCTGATCCACAGAGCGAGCTCCAGGACAGGCTCCAAAGCTACTGAGAAACCCTGTCTCAAAAAACCAATAAAAAAATAGCATTGGCCTCATCACATCAGACACTTAACTGCAGTGAGCTTAGGTGCCTTGGGAAAGTGTCTCTCTCTCTAGGTCCCATCAGCGAAATGTTGACATCTATCTACAGATCCCCAAACTGGGTCTCTTTAACACATCCTGCAGAAGCCAGGAAACTGCCCAAGGCAGCTCATGGGAGCTTTTTGTAAAACCCACGGTGGTCTACAGCCCAAGCCCACGTCCTTGTCCACTTGCCTTGGGAGAACCTGAGTCAAGCCTGCCAGCTCTTAACTTGTCTTCACTCTCATTTTCTCCAGGGGGCAGCAGCATTTACTGTCCTTGCAGGATGACTGAGCAGTCGACAGAAAGCACTTGGGAGCAGGGCAAGTGACCAAGGCGAGTTCTCTCCTCCCAGCTCTCTGAGGCCAGTCTTCAGCTGGTTAACTGGAGCCCTGAGAACAGAGACACAGAAGACTTACTGAAAGTCCCAAATAGCTTGAGCCGCTTGGCATCCTATGGAAAGGAGGGCAGAGGTCCTGGGTGTCATGTGGGCCTTGCCCTCTGTTCCCTCTAGAGCTGTCCTTCTCATCTAGAGTACTGGTTAGTCACCAGGTTCTGTGTTCTCCTGGAGTCCCACTGAGATCTTGGGTAAGAGAGTGGAGACAAGGGTGAAGGCATTAACCACGAAAGTGGCGATAACAGATGTCAGCCGCTGCATGAAGAATCTCAGTGCATGACCGCCTGGAAGCTTCTAACAACAGGGGACCTAGAGATCATTCTACTGTGGGGAAGCTGAAGCTCAGAGAGGTCAATACACCTGTTCATGGAAGAACAGCAACAGCAGATCTGGTTTGGAGCCCTGTCCCTTCAGCCCTAGTTCTTCCTTCTAGGATGCAGGAGTAAGGCTCAGGGCTGATGAGAAGCTCAGAGCTAAGAACACCTGAGGTTTTTTGTTGTTGTTGTTTTGAGATTGGGAAGGTCTCATGTAGCCCAGTATGATGGTTTGAATAAGAATGTCCAGAGTAGCACTGTTTGAAAGGATTAAAAGGATTAGGAACTGTGGTCTTTGTTGGAAGTGCATCTCTGGGGATGGGGTTTGAGGTTTCAAAAGCCCACACCAGGCCCAAGCTCACTCACTCTCCCGCTGCTGCTCCCTCCCACTTCCCCCTCTTCCCTCCCCCTCCCCAGATCAGGCTATAGCTCTCCCCTACTTCCCCAGCACCATATCTGCCTGCACAATGCCGTACTTCCTGCCACGATAATAAACTAAACCCCTGAAACTGTAAGCCAGCCCCAATTAAACGCTTTCTTTTAAAAAGAGTTGCCTTGGTCAAGGTGTCTATTCACAGCAATAGAATAGTGATCAACACACCCAATCCGGCCTTGAACTCACTATGCAGCCAAGGATGTCCTTCCAATGTAAGAGTCCTCCTGCCTCTTGCTGTGGAAAATAATTTTAAAATGTGTTACATTTGTTTACACTGTGGAACATTTGTTTTAATAATGAAAAGAGGTGTTGCATTTGTTTAACTCTGTGAAGCTGTGCTACTTTGCCTGTCTAAAACACCTGATGGTCTATTAAATAGCAAGGTAGGAGAAAGGATAGGCGGGGCTGGCAGGCAGAGAGAATAAATAGGAGGAGAAATCTGGGAAGAGAGGAAGGAGCAAGAGAGAGCAAGGAGAGGAGGATGTAAGGGACCAGCCACCCAAGCCAGCCATGGAGTAAGAGTGAAAGTAAGATATAAAGAAGTAAGAAAATAGCCCAGAGGCAAAAAGGAGATGGGCTAATTTAAGAGAAGCTTGCAACAAGAACGGGCATTTTATAATGAAGAATAAGCCTCCATGTGTGAACAAAAAAGGACAAACACCTCTACCTCCTGTGTGACCTATTGTAAGTGCCACTGTGGCTTTGTGTATGGAGCCAAGCACTAGACTGAACTACATCCCCAACCCCCAAAGTGTGTAAAGAAGTGCACTGGGGCTGGGGGCATGGCTAACTGGATAAGGCATTTACCATACAAGCGTTAGAACCAGAGGTTGAGATCCCCAGAGCATCACAAAAGCCCCACCCAATAGTGACCATGGAGACAAAGATGAGGGAAGTCCCAGAAACCCCTGGGCCAGCTGGCCTGTAATACACAGGGACAAATGAGAGATCTTGTCTCAAACAGGGTGGAAGGTGAGGACAGAGACCGTCCCCTGACCTCCACCAGGACCCATGGAGCGAGTGGCCCCCACTTCTACTGTGCACACAAAGGTGTTTTTTTCAGTGCCAGGCTGATGGACAAAATGAAGCCTGGTAAGCCATGGTTAGTGAGGGACAGTTCAGGGAGCCAGGCGAGCCAGATCTCAGTGAGCTCTTGGTCACCTCCTTCCAGCTTCCACCTTTGCCCCTCCTCTGGGGACAAGAGCTACCGTGCTCTCATTCTGGGTTGCACGGTCTTCCCCAGCTGTCCCCACTACTCTGCTTTCCTATAATCATGTTCTCAGGGAGCTTACGGACCGCAGGAGAGATAAGAAGCATCATAAATCACAAGGACCAACGTGCAGGTGGCAGGGTAGCTGTTGTGAAAATACTAGGGAGCCACGAGTCTGATCCTGGAAAGCTTCCTGGAGGAGGTGACTAGAGCTGGGCCAGAGTTTCCTTTTGGGGCCTCTCAGGCAGGGGCCAAGTGAAACTTGATGACAGGGGAGGGTAAGGAAAAAAAAGAAATGACTACTCTGTCCTGATATCTATGCATTTGCCCTATCTAGATCTGGAACTTAACGGTGTGGGATGCACTCTGTCCCCCCTAGAGCACAGATGCCTCCTCCTCCTCCTCCTCCTCCCCCCTCCTCCTTCCTCTTCCCCTCCTCCTCCTCTTCCTTCTCCTTCTCTGAGGCAGGGTTTCTCTGTGTAGCTTTGGAGGCTGTAGACCAGGCTGGCCTTGAACTCACAGAGATCCACCTGCCTCTGCCTCCCGAGTGCTGGGATTAAAGGCTTGAGCCCAGCTTCTTAAACTATGGGTTATAACCACACATGGTGTCATGCAACTGAATATAAGAGGTCTCAAGAATTGTGGCTAGAGTATAAGGTATCTGAGCAGACAAAAGCAAAAATTAACTCAAAACCAAACACATAACGTATCCGAGGTGCCCCTGGCAGTGCTCACCCACCGTGCCTCTTGTGACATCACTGCAGCCTTGGCCCTGAACACACACACAGCCAGGCACTGCACCAGGAGTGCTGTCGCCACATGCACCAACGGGTGCTGCCTGGAGCCCCTCAGCTCAGGCCCCAGGCTGCTGGGTGCTACGGAGGACAGTGTTTTCACCGTGCATAGACAGCTGGCTGCTCTTACACGGGGCTTAACTACAGAAAGCAAAGACATCAATACACAGAAGCATCAGCGGCGTATTTCTGGATTGTTTGGAATTTGTGATTTTAAAAATTGCGTTTTGAATGGCTCACTTGAGTTTCATGAAAAAAAAAACAAAACCAAAACCAAAAAAACAACAACAACAAAAAAAACCATACAACCCTGTTCAATAGATCGTGCTTTGGACCAGACAGTGGAGGGGCACACTTTTAATCACAGCACTGAGGAGACAGAGGCAGGTGGATCTTTGAGTTCAAGTCCAGCCTGGTCTACAAAGCAAGTTACAGGACTGCCAGGGCTACACAGAGAAACCCTGTCTTGAAAAACCAATAAATAAATAATAAGTAGATTGTGGTTTGGGATTAGGACAGAATCTCTGACAGATCATGAAATGGCTCTAAACTAAACACACTTCTGCCAGTCTATGATGCATGTTTATGTAAAGTGTTGTTCTCAGATCAAAGCACATGACACGCATGCTATGAAAATGTCACAACCGAGCCCAGTATTTTGTAAGAGCAAAGTACACTAACAAGGAATGTTTTCAGAAAATCTCTGTAGGGGGCGCTCGAGAGATGGCTCAGTGGTTAAGAGCACTTGCTCTAGCAGAGGGCCCAACTTCTGACCTCCACAGGCACTGCAGACACACAGTGCATACAAAACACCCAAACACATAGAATAAAAAATAGAAGCCGGGCGCTGGTGGCGCACGCCTTTAATCCCAGCACTCGGGAGGCAGAGGCAGGCGGATCTCTGTGAGTTCGAGGCTGGGCTGGACCGATAGCCTCCAAAACAATACAGAGAAACCCTGTCTCGAAAAACCAAAAAAAAAAAAAAAAAAAAAAAAAAAGAAACCTAAAAAAAAATTCTAAGGCTGGCAAGTTGGTTCAGCAGATAAGGATCTGATAACTCAAGTTCCATCCTCAAAATCCACACAATGGAGGGAAAAGATCTATTCAGATTGTCTCTCACCCCCATGACCCCATCATAGCATGCATGTATATACACACGTGCACACACACACATACTATGTAAGCAACAGACATGCAACTATAAGTCAAAAAGAATTTTTAAATTTAAAAATTTTGGCACGCGTGTGTGCATGCATGCGTGTGCGTGCATGCGGGCGTGCGTGCGTGTGTGTGTGTGTGTGTGTCCGAGCATGCACACACACGGTGTACACGCAGGAGTCATGAGACAACCCGCGGGAGTGAGTTCTCTCCTTCCACCGGGTGGGTTCCAGGGATAAAACTCAGGCCTGGCTACAAGCACCCTTCCCTACATAGCCGTCTTGCTGGCCCTGTCTGAACATCCTATGAGACTGACATGAGCTAGAGGTGGAGAGATGAGCATTCCATGTCAGAGAGAACCTGCCTGAAGCTCCACGAGATGCCCAGGGCAGGCCTCCCTCTCAACCAGTGCCCCAGTATGGGCTTCTGGGATGTTGCCATCTGAAGGTGACACCAACCCCTAAGCTAGTGGTCCTCAACCTTCCTAATGCTTCAACCCTTTAATACAGTTCCTCATGTTGTGGTGACCCCAACCATAAAACTATTTTCATTGCTACTTCCTAATTGTAATTTTGCTGTCAGGAGTCATAATGTAAATATCTGATATGTGACCCAGGGGTCACAACCTGTCAGTTAAGAACCACTACCCTAAGTGCTCTGATACAGCACCAGCCAGGAACAGACCTCAGAACTTACTGTGAAACGTTGCTTTGAGGCTTCTCAAATAAAGACAGCATCTGGAGAGTCCAACAGACCACCCCACCCCCGTTCCGAAACTTTTCACCAAGCATGAGGCAGAACACTCATCTGTGTGGTGTCTCATAACACCTGAGCCAAATCTAGTTTTGTTTTGTTTTTACCAAAACAAAAGCTCCCATCCTACCTCGAGCCCATTGGATCCAAGTCTTCAGCAGAGGAAGCAAAAGACTTCCTAATCGCATGCTTAAAAAAATGCCAGCTATGCGCTCCCACAGGCGTCCAGCCCCAGCGGCCAGGGCACTGCGGCTGCCTCACTAGCTTCCCAGCTGAT